GAGGCCAGATGAAAGGACGGGCTTCGTCTTGGAAGCAGATGTAGCAGACAGTAGGATAATGGTGCTTTGTAACAATGTTGAAAGTCGGTGCACCATACCACTATCAGATGTCGACAAGGTAGACGCATGTGCTTCAATCAATATATCTTGAGCCCGTCGGAGGGCGTCTGCAAACGCCGGTCCAGATTTGTCTTTGGCTGTCTTCCTGTCACCGGCTGCAGCGCGTCCACGGCGGGGGGGCGACGCAACAAGGTTGTTCTTGTCCATGGAGGCCCTCCCTGCGCTGCTAGCTACGGCAGGAAACGAAATTGTAGAGTCTTGCATTACAGAAAAGACCGGGTCTGAAATCATCTGTTCCATGCTATGGCCGATGAGGGACGTTGCGGTGACAATCTGCTCCAAGGACAGAGTTCCAAATAGCTTCGGCAATTCCTTTGCCTGGTCCAAAGTTGACAAGGCGGAAGACCAATCCTTCTTTTGTATGTATCCAATTGCCCTGGAAAGAAGAACTGCGGCAAGTAATGATGACTGGTAAATATCTTTGGGGAGTTGAGCTACCTCCTCGGCTGTGATTGCCTGGGCCTTTGTTGTTGCAGGTCGCCTGGTAGGTCGCGTAACAGATGCGGGCTTGGCTTTGGCGGTTCGTGCAGTCCGTGAGGTTTTCGCGGTGGTTGTCTTTGCCTTTTCCATAGGCGCAGTCGACTTTTCAATACAAACAGAATTACCGGGATTACTGTCCATCAATCGCAGAGTCTCTTCCGCCATTGTTAGATATTCGTTAGCTTTGTCTTCGTCCCCTATTTCGGAATATAGCTCGCCAAGCTTTCGAGCAAAGTGCACACGCGAGGAGCAAATATTGCTGGGAATGTGACGCTGTGCATCCGCCAAAGTTTCAATAGCCTTTGTTATGTTTCCTGCCTTAAGATATATAGACCCGGTCCACGCGGTGACTTGCGCACAGTAGAGAGAGGATTGTGTGCTCTGCGCTATTTTCCATGCAGATTCGGCATAGTAAATGGTCTCCTGAAACATTCCAATATGCGCATACACAGATGATATATGTAGGAGGCAGCGGAGCAATGGTACTGCGAGCCCCCAAAACCGAGGGCCAGTCCTTTTGACCTGAGATGTTTTTAGGTCAAGACCAATCAAGCGGTTTCCGGACATATTTGAGTCGGGTTCTGACGATGCTGCTTCGAGCTTAGCCCAATCGTGAGACAACGTACGAACACCAGTTCGGATCGACGATAGAGCGTCTTCGATATTGCCGGTTTGTATTGAGACTGTGGACTGAATAAGGGCTGACAAAGAAATCATCAAATTGGCTTGGTACTTGGACTGTGCCCATGATGAGCACGATTGGTAACAAATGTCGTTTGCTTTATTGACATAAATCAATCTACACTCTTCTTTAGCGGTGATACTGCAAGAAATGAGGAGGATGCTTTACTCACGCTTCATCCAGACTTCCAACACCAGCGTAGTACTCAGCTTGTGATAAGTAAAAGTCGGCGACAACCCGTTGCGATACCCCTTCATTGTGTTCAAGGAGCTCTTTGGAGACTTCGAGTGCACCGGACGCCTGAGAAAACTTGCCAATGCCGATATATTGGATAGCAAGATGGCTGCTGTGGAGAATCAAACCATCATCGAATGATCCAGAGTATTCAGCTACAGCTTTGGCCATTGCAATGGAAAGTTCCGAAATAGAAATTTGAAGCTCTGTTTCTCCCCGTAGATCAGCCAAATGGTTGAGCGTCTGCAAAAAGTCAATCAATGTCTGTGGGTTGTCGATCTTGGTGTATAAATCATCCTTGGATTGATATGACTCAAGAATCGCCTTCCAGCAAGTGATGTTACCCTTGACGACTGATGTAGGGAACTCATTATCACTATCGGCTAGGGCGGCCAAGGAAGAATGATATGCTTGGAGGTGAGGAATAAATTGTGTGAGAGACCCATCTTCTCCTTTGTCTCTCTTCTGGAGCTGTTGAGAAACTTGACCAAGGTTTGATGTAATTTCTGCCAACTCCTCATCTTCTCCAATATTCTGATACAGCAAGTGAAGTAACACTCGGAATCGCCGGATGGGATATTTATCCAAAGAATAGATTCGAAGTAGCGCTGCCGGGCTAGGATCATGAAGGCGGAGGGGTTGCCGCTGACCTGCTGATTCAGTGCTTAAATGCATAAGATGCTCAAGTACAGCCGCTCGTTCAGCCTCGGGAAGAAAGAAAGTCCAGTCGTTCCAAGATTTATCCAGCTTAGCTATTGAGCGCAGAGTACGCGATAGGGAAGAGGCTTTATCCGTGGTGGCCCAGGCAAGAGTAGGTGGTAACGATGCTAGAGCAGCAGCAACATCAGAGAGAACGCCATCTTCGGCCATGTTAGTGCAGATGGATCTCAGAGTTCCAACGGCATCCTCACTTCGGCCAGACCCCTTGCATAGGTCGGCAAACAGCTCCAGCTTCATTGACAACTGCGCCTTATCTTTTAGGGAGGAAGATCGCTCTTTGACAGCGTCGATGGATCTGCTTAGAGACTGTAACAGCTGTTTATTGAGGTCCTTGGTTCGGTGCTTCATCTTTCGCAGCTCCATGAACTTGGAAAAATAGAGAGTGGAAATCTTAACATGGTAGCCCCCAAGTTGCTCAATTCTCGCAGGGGAGAGCAGTGGATCGCAAATGGAGTCGAGCAGTCCCGAGCAATGCTGAAGGACATCGTCAATTTGATGCCATTCGAGAGCACCAGATTGAATCCCACACTTGACTACCATCAAGGTTGCGTCTAGTGTCTGGTTTATTGATTGCATGACGGCTTGTTTTCGCTGGTCAAACTGCAAGGTTTGCTTCGCAGGAGCATCTTTTCCAGGGGCAGTACCTATCCATCGTCTCAAGAATCGTGGGTATCGAAGAACAAAGTTGTTCAATAGGGTGCTTGTTGTCTGAGGTATCGGATCAGAGACTGCCTTAGGATCCAACTCTTTCATCAACAGCCCCACGACGGATCGCCTCGTAGCTGAGAGGCTTTCTAGCAGTTCATTGAGCTCTGTGAGAGTGCCACTAAGACTACCCTCCAGACTGTCGATAACTTCTTGAATAGCCTTTTCAATGCCATCATCCAACTTTGGCTTTTTCAGAGCAGTAGCAAGAATGCGTGCGGACACAGAGCACAATACCACAGCAGAGTCCGACTCCGGTCTTAAGGTGGCCTTGAGGCTTTCAAACCAACTGCACGCACCATCGTATTGTCGCGCTGCATGAGCTGCAGATCCCAAAACTTGATAGATAGATGATAATGGTGACCTAGAGGATATTGAAGGATCCGGCTTGTGTGAGCGAATGAGCTGCATCAGTTCTTCATAGGCTGCTAGTAGGGACCGATACAGAAGTTTGTCGTCGGATACATGGCGTCTCGCGAAAGCTCGCATACAGCGGCTAAACGGGGCTAAAACTTCATCGTCAATGCTGCCTTGATGTCCAGCCAACTTCCACCACCTCAATTGTGTTCTAAATGCCAAAGCTTGAAGCTCAAAGGTGCTCTGTGGGCTGGGACTTAACCGGGGCTCAACTGCCACCTCATCCTCCTGACTAGACACGCTTGGTAGCATTGAGAGTAGGGCTTGTGAAAATGAAGCCATTTGACGAGCAGCTTTCTGAGTTTGCTTGTCTCCGGAATCCGCGTGCTTTAAGAGCAGATTGACAGGGGACGATGCATGCTTTTCCAGCAGCATAGGTAGTAGTGCCTCGATATGAGCAGGTTTTTTCGTAGCACCAATAAGTTTGACAAGCTGGATTTGGAAAGAAGTGATGATTGGAAGCGTTTGGAGTGAGATTTTTGTCCGAAATTCGAGTAGCTCGGCGATCCCCGTAGCACCCAACTTGATCTCGGCAGACGTTGATGTAGCGACTTTCGAGCTTTCAGTACCGGTAGCAGGATCCAATCGAGATTTTAATATTTTCAATTCCTTCAACGCCTGGTCATGCATATTCAAAGCTAGGAGTTTGCCTATAAACGCAGACATGCCATTTTCCACCTGGAAGTCGTATTGAGCCTCTTGTGTTGAAGGTTTTAGTGATCGAAGGGAAGCAAAGGCTACTCGTGCGCACTCGACAACCGCCAAACATCCTGTAGAGTGAGCAGACAAACCAACCCTGGCCTTGGTGATAGAGACATTTGGTGAGGTTGCCACACGATTCAAGGTTCTCGGCTGCATTGGCGACAATGGTGCCGATAGTGAGCGCCGTAGGGTTCGTCTCGAAGCTAACTGAGGAACATTCTCAACCTGTTTGCAAGGCGTTGATGGAGGCGCAGGTCTCGAAGCTTCCGTGAGTGTCTTTAACGTTGCATTGATGATGTGTGTTGCTAGGATGGTCCGGTCTCTCGAGTTCAATTGTTCACTACGTGAATGCGCAGCTGAAGGTTTCCTCGACGCGGTGCTGGCTTTTGACGATTTCGCCGTTGTAGTTGATTTAGCCGTTCTGGATGCCGATTTTGTTACCTGCGCAGATGGTTCCGTTTCGAGCAGGAGCAATTCTTTGAGTGTTACAACAGTCGCTGGTGTGCACGCCGTGGTCGATGATACTGCTGCCTTCACGGCGTCGGCCGATGCTTGTAATGAAGCCATGTAGGTTATTATGTGCGTGGCCTTCTAATCATATCGTCGCAATAAAACACCACAGGGTTAAAAGGACAAAACAAATGCAAATATCGCCCAAAAACCAAAAATGACGAGATGCAATGCCGAGTATAATGTCGAAATCTGATTGTATCGACGGTTTATGATCTAGTGTCGGTGCAGCCAAACCATGGTTAGTGTGGGTGGGGCTAAACGTCGGGAGTTGTCTGGGGCAACGCTCCAAGAGATTCACTGGCGGCGCACTTGGCCCACAGTCAGCCAACACGAACCAACCTGGAAAGTCCACATGTGAGACCCCAGACTTTGATTAGCAGGAAACTTCTTTCACAACGCTCGCCGCCTGGGCAAGGAGCCTGACGAAATGTCGATCCAGCGAGTACCACTGCGATTAATCGGCCTGAGCCGGTTAGAACTAGCATCCAGGACACCAGCACAGAGAAACCTTGCCATTCGGTGGTCCAGCACAAGTCCTGCGACCATTGTCGACACTGGATTCTGGACTTCTTTGATACCCAAACCTCTGCGAAGAGAAAATCGCAAGGGAATCAAAGGGAGAAAGTCGAAAGAATGGAACCCGGCAACTTTCTTTATCGTCATGTTCCTCTTCATTGGCTCCATGTCGATTCAGATGATAGCGCTCCGCAACCAGTGTGAACGATACAATCGGCAATCAACCGTTAGAATAGGGCAGCTGAGGGAGGCCTTGAGAAAACTCCAGAATGGTGAAGAGGTCGATGTGGACAAACTTTTGGGCAGCGCGGATGAATCACAAAAAGACGCTGACTGGGAAGAGAGTGGGTGTCTGCTGCTTCGCCAACAGCTCTAGGACGCTGGATGCTAACTTTGTGACCAGTGCTGAAAACCATTGAGCGAGACGAGGCGTCACAGAAAGCTCTAGTATCAGAAAATGTGAAGCAGCCGGAATTTCCTGCAAAGACTATCATGTCGGCGGCGCCCATGTCAGATACCGAGGCAGACGACGAACAGGGAAATGCCGATATGCAACCTTCGAAGCCAAAATCTGCGAATCTCGGCAATTTCTTCTAACAGTCTATATTCCCGGAAAATGTATAACACAAATAATGTAACACTATCAAGACAGCATATCCTTGAAGACGGTCGAATTCTCCAGGCGTATTTCCGTGGCTGGGTGGTGATGGGATCCCGCTCCAGTTTGTCGTAATCGAGAAACCAGGCCAGGAAGGAGTTGGTCCGTTAACAACTCAACTCTCACTCCCTGTTCACCCCCTTGTCGTGGATCTAGATCCGTGAAGAAGCGGTCCTCTCCTCTTACGCCGCCCATGTTTACAATGGCAATGGGCATTCCTCGATCTTTGGCTCGTTTGGCCAGCCGCCATGCCGAATACGTTGCGAGAGACGTCCCTAGAACTAGTAGTCTGCCAGCGCCATCGATGGCATCCTCAGAAGCAGCTTTAACGTGACGGGCAATACTTTCTCCAAACATGACAACTGCTGGCTTGAGAATACCAGCAGTACTTGGTGCCACCCAAGCGCCATCCGAATCGACCCGGACAAGTTGTTTTTGGCCGTTAGCATCTTCTGGCGGATCGGCCAAACATTTTGGACAAGGTGGATATCTAAAGGTTGTATATGGTGCTTCTGGGAGGTCGACATCGCCGTCGGGGTTAGCCTTCAAGCCCTTGAATTTCCGCTCCTCTGTACTTTCTGTATCCAAAGCACCAGAGGCAATAGCCTCTTCTAGAAGAGCCGCCCATTTTGGATTCAGACGAGCCAGCTGCCCCTGGAGCTCATCTCGAGAAAACTCAGTCTTGCAGCTCGTGCAGACAGTAGATCTCAGGTAGCCATGTAGCTCGAGGGAAGGTATTTGCGGATGGGCTTTAGGATGGAATGAATCAACATTCTGTGTAATAACACTCCGAATCAACCCCAAGTTTCCCAGATCTCTGATGGCATAATGACCCGCGTTTGGCGTCGCCTTGTGCAGCGTTGACCAGCCAAGAAAGCTGCGTGCCCAGTATCGCTTGCGTGCCTCGTGACTGCCAACAAATTCGTAATAATAAATGGGACGATAGGTCTTGTTCACTCTGTAGGTGCCTTTGACACCACGGTAGTCTGCAAGACCAGAAGCAACCGATAGGCCAGCTCCCGTGAGGACAACGGTAGAGTCTGGGAGGCTGTTGGGAGGCGGCGCCTGGAAGAAGTTGGCCAGGGCAGCAAGACCACCTTGGATGGTTGTAGCAGAGGCCGGCAGGATGGTAGGCGATGCTAGAATGTCCGTGTAGGGAATACGCATACGAGGTTTCGGCATTAGAAATGTCTGGGATGCCAGTGGCTGCTACGGCCACGGCATGTGATGTGATGAATATCCCCGTCCTGACGTGGTGGCCTGTATCAAGGTGGTTTAACGCTGCAGGTACGGAGTGCCGTCAACTATTTGCGGCATCAATTGGTTCCGCCGAAGACGACCGGAAAGCGGAATTGACCCTTGGCCCCAAGGCTGAATATTAGTAAGTACAGTGCAGACGCTGCTCGGAATAGGGCAGCGCCGAGATGTCGGGGCGTCTGGTGAGATGGTGAGATCAGGCCACCAGATGGAGCCCTGACGAGTGTTGGGCCTTGGGAGTATTTCAGACAACTGCTTCAGCGTGGTTGGCAGACAGAGATGGAGCGCCCCCACAGAAGTCGGGGTTGTCTGGTGAGTTGAAAGACGGGAAGGAGCACTGAAAACGAGTGCTTTAGGCCAGTGTTCAGCGGCTGGGTTCTGGGGGCACTCGAGCTCGAAATCAATTGACTGGCTTGTGCCTGGTACGTTCAGGCTGAAAGTTCACAGGTTTCTGTAGCTCGGAGCTCGGACGGTGCTTATCCTATTGAGTGTGCGAAGGTGCAGGTTATGTAGCGGACCCACTCTTTTCTGGTATCAATTGATATATTACTCCGTAGATACCTACTTTTATTGCTAGATTTAATCACGGTATAGTAATATATTTATATATATTTAAAGATAACTAATACTTATATTCTTGTATTATTTACTTAGAAAAATAAGTACTTTTAATAATTAGCTTCTTATTGGCCCACATCCCGGTCCGCTACAAAAGCTGCACCTTCGCACACTCAATGGGATGTAATTCTTGGTGAGGTTGGCACCCCCGCGTGTCCGCCACGGATTGCCGGCCAGGAACATTACGTCAACATGGATTGCAACATGGGGCACGGACTGCATTGACCTAACCTGAACCATTACATACATATGTATTTATATCGCTTATGAACGATGACTTGTATGAGAAGCATCATTAAATTCTTGACGCAAGCTTTCCAAGGCCGCGTTCAATGCTCAGTCAACATGGAAAGGAACGCCCGAACTGGAGCGTCAACCGCCTGGCGGAGACCGAGACTGGTCCCGATGCCCGCTAAACATGGCCCGGATTGCTGAACGGTCCCCGCAAAAAGGGGCACTACTCCCCAGCACCCCACTGTACTATGAGCCAGCTGGCCACTGTGAGGGCAGGAACAGCGATCTGAATCAGTGCACATGTGCAGCTCGGCTGAGGCCTTGGTACTTGCAACTAGTATATTTCGGCACTCCGTGGGAGGTACAAAGAGAGAAAATCAATCAGAAAACAAAAGCCCGAGTCCCAAGGCGCTCGCTCCAAATGACCGACTCGGAGCTCCTCTCAAGTGCCAGGTACGGAGTACTTTGTAGTTTCACTAGGCATCACTTGAACGGATGGCCCCATCGAATTCGTCTATTCCCGACCCGATCCGCCGCCGTTCTCGCTCGTCACCACCTCACTGCAACCAACTTTTCTTCCCTTTGTAACAAAAGCATGCTACGTTTCCCTTCCCATGCCAATCGACGTTTCGATGCCCTAGGAACAGTCGCGACAGACACTCGACGGCTCGAGCTCCAACTCATTTGCTCACCTGCAGCCAGAGGTCGACGCGCGCGAAACGAGGGCCTACGACGACCGAAGGTCACTGTTGCACCGAGTTGTCGACCGGTCCATGTCTCCCCAGGCCGGGCGCTCCACCGGCCTGGCCGTGTGCACGCATGCACAAGCACGAGCACGAGCACAAGCACAAGCACAAGTACGCTCAAAGTGGTCATCGAAGCCAGCGAGGTCACCGCGGTATGTGCATAATAATAATACTGGAGCGCCCGCGTCCGCGACTCCGCCCGTGTCCAAAGTGACGCCAACGGGTGTAGCCACTAAGATCACCGGCATTAGTACTAGCACTGGCACCCGCAAAAGAAACTCCCATCCCAATGCCAATCACGGCCCTCTCCGTCGTCGCTTTCCTAGTTGCGGTTATGCAGCAGCCCACAGCCAGGGCGACAGCCTCCTGAGATTACAAAGGACACTTCGACAACCGGCCCATTCGCAGATGACGCAGCCTCACACACGATTGTTGCACTCACGTACGTCGTTGCGGGCACAGGCTCGCTGCATCATTCAAAATCTATCACCTCTGGCCTCGGCTGCTGCTACCTCGATCCCTACGTTGGCGTCGCACTTTTCTACATCTTCCGGCCTGTCCACCGCGGCCGTTTACACCACCTCAAACTCTCTCCGCCGCCTTGCGTGCTCGTCTTCGACGGTCGATCCAACATCTGCCATTGCAAGCGCCCGTTGCGTACTCCTTCACCTCTCGCCTATCCGCGGACACATCCGCACGCTGCCCTCAGTCATGGGTCCAGCATTGAAGCAGACTCGCGACCATGGCGACCATGGTCACGGTCATGGTCCTGGCGCTCATGGACATCATCACCACCACGACAGCACATACCTGACATCCGCCAATAAAAACGACCCCGGTGTAAGAATCACGCGAATAGGTCTACTGTCCAACTTGGGCATGGCAATTGCCAAGTTCATAGGTGGATGGGCGTTCAATTCCAAGTCAATGACGGCAGATGCCTGGCACAGCATTGCTGACCTCGCCTCCGATATTCTCACCTTGGCCACGGTTTCTTGGAGCTTAAAACCGCCGACGGATCGATTCCCCATGGGATTCGGCAAGGTGGAAAGCCTCGGTTCTCTTGGCGTGTCGGGCATGCTGCTGGTGGGCGGTTTCTACATGGGGTGGGAGAGCGCAATCAGCCTGTACGGCCATTTCAACCCTGAGGGCGCGCACAACCTTTTTGAGCACGTTGGCCACGGCCACGGCCACTCACACAACCCTGCCGATCTGGGAATCCCAAACATTCATGCTGTTTGGCTGGCTGCGGGCACCATCCTGATCAAAGAATGGCTCTATCAAGCGAGTATGTCACCTTCCTTTTGCGTGCGGCATTGAATGTGCAGGCAGCTAACGTAACGTGCAGCAATGAAGGTTGCGCGGGAACGCAAGTCGTCCGTCCTTGCCTCCAACGCCATCCACCACCGTGTCGACAGCCTGACTGGCATTGTCACTCTTGCCGCCATCCTTGGTGCCAATATTGTTGAGAATGCCGCCTGGCTGGATCCGGTGGGCGGTCTCCTCATTTCCATCATGGTGGTCAAGGCCGGATACGACAACACAAAGGAGGCCTTGTACGAGCTGGCAGACCGCAGCCTCGACGACGACGTGAAGAACTCTATCCGAAAACAAGCACACCGAGCATTGTCCAACGTGAGCGAGGGCCATGAAGCAGAGCTCCGTGATATTAGTGGCACCAAATCGGGACAGAATTATCTGGTTGACATGGAATTGGCCGTGCCTGGTGCATGGACGGTGGACGATGTCAAGGACCTGGAGGATGCGGTGCGCATGCAGGTCGGCGGCAAAGTGCGTGGGGTGAAGCGGCTTCGTGTGCGGTTTGTCTCCCGGGATAAGCCTGTAAACGAGAGGTTTGATGAATTCATTTCAGGGCCAGAAGCATTGCAGAAGCCGGAGCTGCAGGAGGAAGAGGAGGCTGGGAATGGCGTTGTCGTTGATAAAGATGGCAAGCATAGACATTAGACTATACCACCTATGTATGTACTCGATGATAAAAATACCGTACAGAGAGCGAGATGCTGGTAGAAGATAACATGAACACGATGTATATGATTTCTTTTAATTGTTGGACATGTATCCTGACTGTCGAATGCAATACCCATCCGCTCTCCTGTCACCTGTCATACTTGGCTACCCACTCACACAACCCTTTTCTCCGTCGGCTCTGGCCCGTCAATACCGATCAATTTAGCCTAAACACCCGAACTCAATTGCCGGCGGCTGTATTGATTGCTGCAAGGCGAGACCTCGGAAAATATATATAGTGATATATGTTGGACGGTGAAAATGCCCAGAAATCCGGAGCACGATAACCATACACTAAAAAACAACGGGCCTCGATTCCCTCCTTTCCGGTCCCGGTATTCCATCAAAGACGTGGCCAAACCTGGCTTCTAGCTGAAGTCATAGACCCGCAAAATCTCTAGACGTCAGGATTAGAGCTGTCTTGCGTCGATCCGTGATGTAATCATCTCAAACACCAGACACGCACGCTTCGAACTTCTCATACACCTGTACCTCAGTCTCACATAGCTGTTATTTTCACACCACCTATTCTTCTTACTCTGGTCCATTGCATCATGAGTGACCAAGGGCCACTCTATTTGGGCTTCGACCTGTCCACCCAACAACTTAAGGGTAAGCTGATGTCACCCTCGGGCCACTCTCATAGTAAATGTAAATCGTCGTACAACTAAACTTCATCCTACCAGCAATCGTCGTAGACTCGCATCTCAAAACCATCGCCCAGTCCAAGGTCGATTTCGACGCCGATTTTTCCAAATATGGCATCCAGAAGGGCGTTCATGTGCGTCCCTCCACGGGCGAAGTCTACGCTCCGGTCGCCATGTGGATGGAGTCACTAGACCTCGTGCTCCATCGTCTATCAAAGGAGATGCCTGTGCCCATGTCGCGGATCCGAGGCGTGAGCGGCTCGGGGCAACAGCATGGCAGTGTGTATTGGAACCACCAGGCTCACGATGTCTTGAGGTGTTTGGACGCCAGCAAGCAGCTGGTGGACCAGCTCCCGGGGGCGTTGGCCCATGAGTGGTCGCCGAATTGGCAGGATCAGAGTACGCAAAGCGAATGTGATGCCTTTGACGCCGAGCTGGGGGACAGGGAGAAGCTGGCCGAGGTTACGGGCAGCGGTGCCCATCATGTAAGCTTGCCCGACCTGGGCATCTGTTCCCAAACCAAAACCTAGTCTGACGATATCTAGAGATTCACAGGCACCCAAATCATGAGGATGCGCCGCGTGCGCCCCGAGGTCTACGCCCAGACTTCACGCATATCCCTCGTGTCATCGTGGCTCGCCTCCATCCTCCTGGGGGCCGTTGCGCCCCTCGATATCAGCGACGTGTGCGGCATGAATCTATGGGACATTCCCAACCAGCAGTACATCCCGGAGCTGCTCGCCCTCTCGGCGGGCAAAGACGGCGCCGACGACCTGCGCAACAAGCTGGGCGAGCCGCAAGTGGACGGCGGAAAGCCCTTTGGCAAGATCTCGCGGTACTTTGCGGAAAAGTACGCTTTCCACCCAGACTGCCAGATCGTGCCCTTCACAGGCGACAATCCCGCCACCATATTGGCGCTGCCGCTGCGCCCTCTCGACGCCATCGTCTCGCTGGGAACCTCAACGACTTTCCTGATGAACACGCCAAAGTACAAGCCCGACGGCTCGTACCACTTCTTCAACCACCCGACCACCAAGGGCCACTACATGTTCATGCTGTGCTATAAAAACGGTGGACTGGCGCGTGAAAAGGTCCGCGACGCACTGCCCAAGCCCGCAGACGGAGGGACCGGCTGGGAGACCTTCAACAAGGCCGTGATGGATATGCCGCCGCTGGCCATGACCAAGGAAGGAGGAGGCCAAGCCAAACTTGGGCTGTACTTTTATCTGCGAGAGACGGTGCCGAATATCCGCGCAGGGACGTGGCGATTTACGTGTGATTCCGACGGCGGGAATTTACAAGAGAGCCGGGAGGAGTGGTCCAAAGAAGTCGATGCCCGAGTCATTGTGGAATCACAGGCTCTGTCCATGCGGCTACGATCCCAGAAGCTGGTTCACAGCCCGCGAGACGGACTCCCCGCCCAGCCGCGCCGGATCTACCTGGTTGGCGGGGGATCGCTCAACCCGGCCATTGCCAGCGTCATAGGCGACGTGCTCGGGGCCGCAGACGGCGTGTACAAGCTCGACGTGGGCGGCAGTGCGTGCGCGCTGGGGGGAGCATACAAGGCACTCTGGGCCATGGAGCGCAAGGCCGGCGAGACATTCGACCAAGTCATCGGGAAGCGGTGGAAGGAGGAGGGGTCCGTCGAAAAGGTCGATGCAGGATTCAAAGACGGCACATATCAGACGTACGGGAGTGTGCTGGGGTCGTTTGAGGAAATGGAGAAGAGGCTCCTCGCGGAGGAGCAGGGCAAGTAACCATGTTGCAAGGGGGATATCTATAGCGCACTGTCTATCGGACGTATTTACTCATGAAGCGCCTGTGGAAATCAGACCGCAGCATATCCTACACGGACTATTAGTTACCGGTATTGCCGATAGGATCACTTGAAGGAGACACTCACATTGACGAATTCCTTCTTCTTGTTCCTGTCCTCCGTCCCGCGCGCCTGGTTCCTAAACACAACATCGTCGTCCCACCGCCTCTTCATCGTGTAGTCTTGCTTATTGAGAAGCGGGTTCCCCAGTGCAATGTTTCTCTCGCGTGCTTCCTCTTCCTCTTTTGCTCTTTCTGCGTCCTGTTCCACGAATTAGCAGCTTGCCCAGACAAACAAAAAATATATAAAAATCGCAACAACAGCCAAGGCTGAAATATCGCGCTCACCTCTCGCTTCTTCTTCTCCTCCCTCTCTCTCCTTACGCGCTCCAGCTCCCTCTGCAGCTCTGCATCTTCGTCATCCTCACTTTCGTCATCGCTATCCTCGTCCTCCTCCTCGCTGCTATCATCGGCGTCTATATCTCTCGTTTCTTCTAATATCCTCCGCCGCTTCGCCTCATAGTCCTCTTCTCCGTCGCCAGCCGGCGGCAGTGGTCTCTTTTCCGCGGCAACAGACACATTTTCTTGGTCGTCGTCTTCGTCGCCGGGGACAGGAGCGCCCTTCTTCTTGGAGAAGTGGGCGGCTTCGGCGGCGAGCAGCTCGGCTGCGAGATCACGCGAGGGTTCGTCGTCGGCGTCGCCTCCCTGGCCGGCTTGGCGGAACTTGAGTTGCGTGTGGGCGGGCTGGAGGCGCTGGTGGTAGGCTGGGCCGCGGAGGGCTTCTTTGCCGCGCGCCTGGGAGGATGCGGGTTAGTTTGATGGTTTGGTATTCGGACTAGAGGGTGTGTTCTTACAGGGTCGAATGTTGGCCTGTGTGCGGTAGTCATGGCGGCGACAGGAGAAGGAGATTGGTTTGATGAAGTAAAGTTGGCGCTTCGATGTTGGATTTGATGGTTGATTTTGGAGTGATGATGCCGATGGCGCGGGCCAATCACTGCCTGACTGGGCCACGCACTTGTATCCACCTGGGAGGTGGACGGATGGCTTCAATGCTCGATTCTGCCACTTACACATTTGGGCTGTTGTCCAAGATCAAGGAATATTCATACATTTTGTTTTTATTGAGTTTTTTTTTCCTTTTCAAAACGACTTGGTGCGGTCTATGATACTGCGCGCGCGTTGTCGACTACCTAGGTATTGGTACGCATACATCATGAAGGAACAATCTTGAATCGCCATGTCCTACGTTAAATTTGGTCTAAAATTAGGTACAACTACAGAATACACATGACGGAGAAAAGGTCGGCAATAACCATCTCTCACATCGCGGGGACATATCAGCTCATCAATCCACGAACTTGACTCCGTGGCCGCTTATGGCCAATAGCCACCCTCGACGGCATCGTTCCATGAGACAAAAAACTGCGAACTGAGGCTGTATGCGGCGCCACGTCTTGCAAATGATATGTCTCCTCTAACAAAACAAACGAGTCGGTTGGGAGCTTGACAAACAACAATGCGATTGCTGTCACAAGCAAATAGCCACTCGTCACCACGTACGGCAAGCCCATCCAAACTCCTCCAAGCTTCATGCCAATCGAAAACATCCATGCTAGCCCCGGCGCTGCCACAAGTAGGCCCGTGGTTTCTGTGATCCCAATCACTGTTTGTAGCTTCGACGTGTTTTCCGCACTTGTATGATACGCGGCCAGAGATCGACACAGTGACGGTAATCCTGCACCGAGGGTCTTGACAATTAGCCCGCTTATAACAATGGGCATGGTTGTTCCCGCAAGAAGCAAGAACCCAGCTGCCAGAGAAAACGCAGATGCTTGGGCTAGGATTCGGTCCTTTTCACCGGCTGAGAAACCCTTCACCACCACACCGGAGACGAGGAGCTTCGAGAGCCCAGGAATAACGAGCAAAACGACAAATACATTCACCATGCTCCGTAAAGAGAGCAGGTAGCCTGCTGCTGCCATGGACCAATCGAACCGCTTACTGACGTATTGGATAAAGAGTGCGCTGGTGGCGATTCCCACTGGGGAGGGACACAGAAATGCGAACAAGATGAGACTTAGCGATGGCTGCCTAATCATGCCGATTGCCTCTTTGATTTGATCTTTGAACTCCCAGACGTATGATTTGACGGTGCCGTACAAGGAATCATCCCGTGATACGCTCCACTCTTCTTCCTGCTTCAGCGCGGGTAATGTCTCGGGAATGAAACCAATGACTCCCATAGCGAGAAGCAGGGTGAGCAGACTGAGTGCAATGGGGGTCCATGGAGACGAGGTCCTCATGAGGGATGAGGCGGTTAGCGGACCGAATAGATTGCCAACGAGACTCCCGAGCGAGACGGTCAAGAAGGCCGATACTCTAGTCCGTGAATCAGAAAAGAGTCGAGTCAGAAAAAAAAGGGTTTATGGATGGCGCTGGTCTTACCTGTCTGCTTCGCAAACAACATCGGCCACGACAGAGTAAATGTCCGAGACCAAAACTGTGCTTCCACCGCCGACGACAGCAAAGACGGGTGAAATGAGAATGATGTATATGGAAATTCTTTGACCTAGGGCTAGGACGACGGCTATCCATAAGCCCGACACGAAGATGCCGGTGAGGGAGAGCCACAAGACCGGCTTGCGACCTTTTCTGAATACGCCGTTAATGCCTGACTTGAGACCTGTACAACTGTCTGGCCAAGACGTAGGGATGGGATCCCGGACCAAGGGGCCCTTACTTATCTGCGTACGCACCATATGGTAATGCCACAAAAAGACCTAGGAAAATCAGGCATCCCTCCCTCACATGTACCCCTTTACGATGTACACTTACCAACGACAGCCTCTACCATGGGCAGCAATCCATTCAAGTAGGCCAATTGCGACTGAATCTCGTCAGACTTGCACAGACTCTCGTCAATCTTGTTATGGCGCGTGGCCCCGTCCAACCGGGCCGCGTAGTACCTCTGACAGAGGTTGTCCTCGATCAATCTCGTAACGGGCACGTCGCCCAATGACCCGGAGAAGGACAACCCAAACACCATCAACGACAACAGAAAGTAAATGGTTCTCGGCCGTCGTGCCTGAAAGAATGAAGCACACCGAGGTCCTCGCTGCTGGGAGCCGCCGCCGCCGCCGTCACCGCCGTCTTCGCCGGGTAAAAGGGGTGTGGTCTCTTCCATTTTGTGTCTGCTGGCGGCAGAGAAAATAACAGCAGAGAGGTACAGGAACCGACTCGAGGTACTCGGCTCTATATGGGCATACGAGAGGCCGCCATGTCGGGATATACATGCTACAAAGGGGGGCAAGTCTGTTGCTTCTACTGTCCAGGATGGTGCATCTCCCTGTCGAGGCGTTTTACATGCACATCATTGCAAGTGGCGCGTGCCGGCATTGAATATGGGCATGTTGAGATGAAACCAAGGCCATCCACGTCATGGTGTACGTGCTCCGGGTACGAGATCCATGCTGGTTGGGCCCGGGCAGCATGGTCAATTGTTCTTGATAATGGGCAAAAATAAAGCTCAAGGTACGTATTTGACGGACAGCGGTGAATATTAGAAAGTCAACGAGTGGTGTTTACTTCTTCTGCCCTTGCACAATAGACACGTGGCTTGATTGAAGGCGGGAGGGAATAGTTACGGGTAGCAGATCCATCTCAAACGAAGACTGTATGCATGTAGATTGCGGCTACCACACCCAGATTGGACCACTCTGGCCGCAGGTTCTAACCAGTAGGAATGCTCGGGTGCCTGAGCCTTCGAAACGCTGTGCGGTGATGTTACTCGGATGAAACAGTATTGTTGGTGGCACGGTGTTTGCCAAATTCGGCTTGCGAGGTTGGACATTCGTTCATGATTGCGAAGCCTGATTCCTCGCAGGGAGAGGGAGTGTGAGGCTTTTTGTACTGATGCTATATATATGAAATATGTTGCGTTGATAGTTGGGAGAGTACTCGTAGTTTTAGACGAGTCAAACTTGATACGGGTATGTAGCAAGGATGCCAGTCATCGGGATACTGCACACCATGGCCCAAAGCAACAACCTCAGCAAAGCAATTTGCATGGGTTTTGTGAGCACAAAACTCAAGGGGAGCTGGGCGATGAATATCGTGACCCAAATGCGTTTATTAACAAACCTCAACGTCCATCATGATGGTGAACTTTCAAGAGGATCCGTTCGAGTGAGGAACCGCCAGGTTTGGGTACAAGGGCATGAGGATATGCCCAATATCTTGAGGGTACAAAAAAGCGCGCAGCACCATGATATACCGTTTGTACTATATTTTCAGCGCATAAGTTACTTATCAATTGGCAAAGTATATTCTGCCATGCAGTGCAACCCTCTCGTGCTCACCGGCGCTTCGGGGAGGCGCCGATGTAGCTAGGAGCATTGACCTTTAGAAGTAAGCGGCTAAATCGACCAGTTGACCGTTGATATTAGAGATCCTACGGAGTACTGACTTGACTTGTTGGCCCTCGGCATCTGTGGATTTTTCCGGTTGGCTCTCGCGAGATGCGCTCGGTGAGGGAGATGTGATGCTAGCTCGCCCGTGCAGCTATGCAATGCATCAATCGACCATGACTTGTGCATGTAGCAGGCACGCATACCCCAGTTATGCGTCTGTGTTTCAACATATCAAGTTAATCTGCACAAAAGAAGAGGCTCAAGTGTTCTTTGGCGGATCCATGTCATTTGACTCTCCGAAAATAGTTCAAGCCTTTATGCACCATCTGCACATTCACATCTGCAAGACGTGCATCAGCATCCAATGGGGGGGAGGGGGCCCTCGTGGGGGCTGCTCATGCCTCACCGGGAGCAAAAGGGTCTTGGCAGTTGGCGCCAGCCGGCCCTTGTCTGCATGTGGTCAATCGGATTGGCTTTGTTCGCCAGGCAGGTACGGAGTAAAAGCGCACTGGCCAATCTGCTGGCTCAGCGCCCAAGCTCAAGCCTTGCATGACTGAAAAAAGGTCAAGGATCGCCAATCACCACCACATCACCTCACATCGCCAGAACAGCCATTGAGTTGGCCCCCTGTCCGGCATATAGGAGGACCCGTGGTGGAAAGCCACTCTCTATGTCCTTTCTTCGATGCGACTTGTGACTCCATACATGTATGTACCGTCCGTGTTAGTCTCCTTTATGCGCCGACCGACGCCTTCTTTCCTGATACTTTTGCGCTACTCTGTCATGATTGCGACGTTGCACGCGACAATGGCTTTCGGCTTCCATGGCCCGTCAGGAGGTCCCATTTGTCCCCCATTTCATTTTGCCTACCTGGGTAGTGAATCACCATCATGGTTGGGTGTCATCTCTTTTGTCCGTTTCTGTTTGTTGGGTTTCATGAGGCCTTGTTATGCGGAACCTGCAGCATTCCTTCCAACCGCCGATTGTGATTTTCGTTCCCCCGACTGGAACTCGTAATGGCAAAAGACTCCCATCATTTAAAGGCCGTCATGTCCCCAACATCTCTATCGGCAATTTACTTCATCTTCCATCCCATAAATCTCCTCCTCTAAAAGCCACTGGTGGGCATTGCATTACTCGAATCGGACACTGTTTATAATGCGTTCATGCATGTCTCTGCTTCTGGCGGCAGCCACTGCTGTCTCGGCGGCTCCCAGATATGTCATGTATTTTGACCAGTAAGTCCAAAGTTGGCAAAAAGAGACCCCTCGGCCTCCCTCTCTCTCTCTCTCTGAGCGTTGCTGACAACTCCTCCCCTAGATGGCACAAGACAACACTACCCCCCAAGGAGGTGACGGCAGGCGTAAACTATGTCATCACTGCCTTTGCTCCTTCAACAACATTCAACTCTGGTAGCTCGTATCAACCTTTTATGCCGTTGGACCAGGTCCGGGCTCTGTTTGATAAGGGCACAAAGGTGTGCATGGCTATTGGCGGATGGGGTGACAACTCTGGTTTCAGTATTGGCGCTGCCACCGAGACCACGCGCAAGACGTACGCCAAGAATGTTGCTACCGCCTTGACAACTCTTGGTTACGACTGCATCGGTAAGACGTTTGTATTTGCTTGTGGAGATGAATGTTTGCTTACATTGTGATAGATGTTGACTGGGAGTATCCCGGTGGCAACGGCCAAGACTATAAGCAGACTCCCAATGATAAGAAGGTTTCAGAAATTGAGACGTACGCACTCTTGCTGCAGGAGATCAAGGCTGCTATTGGAGAAAAGGAACTGTCCATTGCCGTTCCTGGAAAGGAGGGTGACATGATTGCTTTCACGGCCGAGCAGGTTCCCAAGATTGACAAAGCTGTTGATTTTGTCAATGTAAGTACAACCCGCTCCGTGGTAGGCAAACAATTGCTGGGGAATAAATGAATTAATATGTGGCTGCTAGGTCATGACGTATGACATTATGAATCGCCGAGACAACGCTACCAATCACCACACCTCTGTTGTGGATTGCGCCCATACTATTGACACTTACATCAAGCGAGGCATGACTGCCAGCAAGATGAATCTTGGATTCGCTTTTTACGCCAAGTATTTTACTACCAAGGACGGTGTCGAATGCGCCGAGCCCACTGGCTGCCCTACAGCGGTTCTCGAAGCTCCCGATGGCTCTGACCTTAACCTTTCTGGGGCTTTCACGTTTGAAGTCGAAAACTACAGCAAAGCTGCGTTTACCAAAGCCCTGCAGAATGGCAAGGAGGACAAGGACAAGGGGGGAATGTGGTACTGGGATTCGTCCACTAAGCAGTACTGGACTTGGGATGCTCCCGATCTTATTGCCCGGAAATTCAAGGAGATTGTAGCTGCCAAAAAGCTGGGCGGTGTCATGGCTTGGAGTCTGGCTCAAGATAGCCACGACTGGAGCCATTTCAAAGCCATGCAAGCTGGTGTCAAGTCACTGTGAGCTATGGTGCGGACGACATGTAGCGGGTCGCGGGATTCCCATGTTGTACATAGGTGTTTCTCTTCAGACTGTACATGAATCGAACCATGCGGTACTTGGTTCAAGGTGTGGTGCGGATGGCAGGACCATCACAAGAGGGGATAGATAGCACCTGTAACACAGAGCAATTGATTCGATGGTGGAATATTACAATGCGCCTACTAATCAGAATCAGGAAGATGCTGACTTGCAGACTTGCATAGTCGATACAAAAACAATAATCCAAAAAAGAAAGTCTCTCATGCTCCTAGACATACGGCTTGACCTGCTCCTCTGTCCACTCCCAATACCGCTTCCCTAGCTCGGGGTCAAACAGATCCTTGCGGGCATTAACCAGCCGCCCCCAAGGCGCAACTAAAACCCGGTTAGAAAGAAACCAATCGACACGATGGTGAATATGTAATTAAACCATGCAACTTACTAAACATGCCAGACTTTTCCACAGTAACATCGGGGTGCAGACCTGCGAACAGCTCTGTATAAGCACCAAACTTGGCGGGATACGCCATGAAATTCTACAACTCTCAGTTAGCACTTCCGTCTCTCGAGAATTCGCACTATTGATCAAAAAGCGTACTGTCCAGAAGAAATTTTGCCATCCCGGCATGGATCTCTGCAAGTCCGTCGCCAGATTACCCGGATTCAAGCTCTAGATTTAGGGAGAAAAAAACTGTTAGCTTTCGTCATACCCCTCGTCAAAGACTTTACGCGCCGCTTTTTGTTTCCCTGCACTCACCACGCTGACGATGCCCTCGCCCTCGCTCCTCCTGGCAAACTCAACCGCGTGCAACACATTGCCGGCCTTGCTCCTCCCATACTTGACCCAGGCGTTCTCGTCCCTGTCATAGGCCATGTTCTGGAAATCAATGACGCCGCTCGGCGCCAGGTCAATGGCACTGGAGGACACCCACACGACGCGCACGGAGTTCTTGGGCGCGGCGGCGGCGCTCTTCTTCAGCACGGGATGCAGGAGCTTCGTCAGGAGGAAGTGGCCGATGTTGTTGGTGCCGAGCTGCAGCTCGTAGCCCTGGGCGGTCTTGGAGCCCGCGGGGGGCACCATGACGCCGGCATTGAGCCAGAGCACGTCGAGGCGCGACTCGAGGCGCAGGAACCGCTCGGCGGATTGGGCAATGGTGCCTAGGTCGGCGAGGTCGAGGGGCAGGAAGACGAGGTCGCCCTTGGACTGGGGGTGTTGCTCCCTGAGCGAGGAGATGGCCGCCGCGGTCTTGTCCTCGGACCGCGCGGCGAGGTAGACTTTTGCGTTGTGCTGGTACAGGATGGAGGCGAGCTGCTCGCCTACGCCGCCTGATGCGCCGGTGACGAGGAAGACCTGCGTTTGGTGGGGGTTAGACGGACGGCGAGGCTTCCCGTGGTGTTTTGGGATGGGGGAGGACTTGTGCCGACTTTGCCTGTCTGGTCCGGTAGGTTTGCCTCCGTCAGAGGGGGCTTGGGAGGCCAGAGACTCTTTAGTGACTGGCTCATGTTGGGCGGCGGGTGAGGAGTGGTAGTTGTGATCTTTGGTGTATTTGGCACGAGGCGGGAAAGAGAAGCTGGTCAACACCCGTGTTTATCTAGATTCCATGTGCCCTCTCTGGTCCCCCGAAGCCGTGTCGTGGGATGTGGCGAGTGCATGCCAATTTACTTCATGGCTGGCGGGGGTCGTGACCTTGTTTCTTCCGGACTTAAACCCCCTATCTCCAGTCTTTAAGCTCTTTTTCAACATAGCTGCAACTCAATTCTGTGTTCGGGGTTCGGTGGCAAGACCGGCCGTCGGGTACGGGTTAGGATGCTGCGGCGGTGGCGGGCGGAGTTGAGATGTGTGGAGTTGCCGCTGCCTGCTTGTCGGTGTTGCATAGGCACCTAGGTATGAAGTATGCGCTATACCACTGTGCTATGGATATAGTGTCATGCTGAGAATATTCTGTCGGTTCAAACAACCTTCTCTTACCCCACTACAGCTGCCATTTAATTTTCGGCTTCTTATTCTCTCATTTGATAAATTCATCGTCCTCTAAAGAAATTCGGTTGCCGATGGAGGTGGATCCCGGCAGTTGGCTGCTTCAAGCCAATAGGCCGAGAGCAACATTGACGGCATCTTCCAGTAAAGCACAAGCAACCACCAAATACACCAGGGTCATGTAATGGGGTGCAATTTTTCCTTCACTATCCTGACTACAGTCCACGGTCCAATCGACTCACAAATGCGCTACATAGTATAGTTTCTCAATCGCTCAAAGTTATGCAGATGCACAACCGTCCCCACCATCAATGTTCAACCTTCATTACCTCCATCGGTGTTTGGCTTCCACCGCCCGGCAGAATTTTCAACCCCACGTCACTCATTGAGCATACACGCCATGAGCAAAGCCAGTGAAAAACAACCCCTTCAATACATACAGAAGGAGCCTGTTGCCACAGGATCTTCCTGTTTCTCAATTGACAGACACAATGCCACGAGATGCGGAACCGTCGCTGAGCGAGAAGACTTTTGTCGCAAAGGCGCTTGACGAAGGTCTGCGCCTGGACAATCGCAAGTTTGAGCAGTTCCGGCCTTTGGAGCTCACTTTTGGAGATGAGTTTGGCGTTGCGGATGCCAAGTGCGGGAAGACAAGGCATGTTCTTCCAACACCCCCCCCAACAAGATGAAGAAAAAAAGAGTCCAAGCCTAAATACCAAACGTAATAATGTGACTACAGCCACCACTAACACATACATATAGAATCGTCGCCAGAGTCTCAGCAGAGGTAACAGTGCCCTTCACGGACCGCCCCTTTGACGGTATATTCACCATATCCTCGGAACTGAGCCCCATGGCGGCGCCTTCATTCGAAGTGAACCGCCCCACAGAGCAGGAAGTCCTCCTCTCGAGGATCCTCGAAAAGACCATCCGCCGCTCCGGCGCCCTCGACACCGAGTCGCTCTGCCTCGTCGCCGGCCAGAAGTGCTGGTCCGTCCGCGCCGACGTCCACGTCCTCTCGCACGACGGCAACCTCCTCGACGTGGCGTGCTTCGCCGTCGTCGCCGCCCTCCGGCACTTTCGCATGCCAGAGACCACCATGGACGGCGAGACGCTGACCGTTTACACCCCGGCAGAGCGGGAGCCCGTGGCGCTCAGCTGGCTGCACTCGCCGTTTTGCGTGACGTTTAGTTTTTTCGGCCACGACGGGGAGACGGTGCTGATGGACACCACATGGCTGGAGGAGCAGCTGAGGGTGACCAGCTGTACCTTTAGTCTGAACAAGCATGGCGAGATATGCCAGGTATCGAAGCTGGGGGGTGCGGATGTGGACGCGCCCCTCTTCGTGAGGTGTGCGCAGTTGGCGTTGGACAGGGTCAAGGTGTTCACGGACCTGGTGGATAGGAAGTTGATGGAGGATGGGAAGAGGAGAGATAAGGGAGGGTTGATGGCCGAGTTAAAGGCAGATAATGATAGGTGATGTGGTTAGAGCGGGATATATTGGAGCTGAAGGCCCCAAAACAAAAAAAAGAGAAAGGCTGTTCTGTTTGTTATTTCATCATGGCGCATTATCACGGTATGGCAGGATAGAGAAAAAAAAGCCGAGACATCTTGATACCCCCCTAGTTACAAGCTCATGCTATTTTTAAACCTTACAACATAAGTTGATATTCTGGACATATCGCTGCTTAAAAAAAGGTACAATGATCTCCGTTTAAATCTATCCAGGCCAAGACGCCGTGCTAAGCCACACTCTCTAAAATCATGGTCCGTAGCTCATGAAATAAAAAATAAATCAAAACTCCATGTCTTGTTGCAAAATCTCCCTTTCCTTCTCTCACCTCATCACTGGCGGCCTCGACTCTTTATTCCACTGCACTCTTGTCCTTACCCAATCCACCGCCTCCCTGACGCCGTCTCCAGTCAACGCACTCAACGACAATACTCTGGAATCGCGAATACTGCTCGCCTTATCGCCCTCCATGACCTTCTTCACCAGGCCTTCCTTGATGCGAATCGTCTCAACGCAATCCTCCCTGTCCTGCTTGTTCGCGAGAATGAGTAGCGGCACGCCTTCCGTCTCCGAGTGCTGCAGCACATCTTCGAGTACAAGTCTACACTCCTCCAAGCGGCCGTTGTCATCGTCCTCAAGCGACCCGTCGCCAATGTCCGTACTGTCGATGATGAAGACGATCGCGTGGCAGCTGGCGTAGTAGCTTTGCCAGAGGTTGCGAAGGGACAGCTGGCCGCCGACATCCCATAGCTTCATATACATGTCGGGTAAGGTTATCGTCGAGACATTCTGGCCGACGGTCGGCACGGTCTTGAGCTTTGGTTCCGGACCGTGGGGGAGGTACATGGACTTGACTTGTTCGTGGAACGTGGTCTTGCCGGCATTATCGAGGCCCAGGAGGATGACGGAGTATTCTGTCGGTATTGCTGGTTAGTTTCATTGCCGTCTGCGCCTTTCGTTTGGTAGAGGAGGGTGCAGACCTTCTTTGCTGGTCGCGTAGAGATACAGGCCCTTGGCGAGGTGGTACATGTTTCTGGACTTGACGGGCCGTTGTGTCGTTCGACCACAGCTCAGCTGGTTCGATAGACAGGCGCATTCATTTGTTGGATCGAACAGGAAAACAGACGCTGATGCGGAAATTTTTATGGCGCAGACTGCATAGGACGGGTATAGTTTGTGGTGTGCGGTGAGAGAGAACTGGACGCGTGGGATCGGTATGCTGGTGATATTCCATGTTAACAGTCAGTTCGGCGTCGCTCTCGTGGAGGTTCAGGCGGCTTGTGGCCACTTGTAGGGGACCTTGTTTGCAAGGGCGGCTCAACTGCACTAGAATGGTGGGGCAGGACTTGACCGGACCTTCCATGTTCAACTTTGAACGTAGGCTTTGCGATCAATTGGGTCAAACGTGACAATGCGTTTGCTCGACTGCGCTACCCTGCTGGCTTCATGATGCTTCATCCAGATTAAATTAACCTACTATACCTGTACACTCAAGAATCTATGTGTGTCCTTTACTGAACTTTGCTCCGAGGAAGTGCGTGGGGTTCGTCTCGAGTATACTGACCATCCCCTCTGGTGTGCGAAGGCTCCAGTGAGGTCGCCGGCCCCACATCACCCTTGTAGGCAACCGGTGACCTCAAGTGACTCTATAGCAGTCTAAATCTTAGTATATTATAATATAGATACTTCTATTATTATATAATATACTAGTAAATATATATATCCTTAAGAATACAGCTTCTTATTAGATACACATCCCTACAAATACCGCATTAAAGCCTTCGCACACCAGAGGGGATTTGAAGGCGCCGTCTCAAAGTGGCTCAAATGAGCAGGGACTCAATGCCGATGAAACTTTCCAAGTCTCTGCCACTTCCAAAGTTTTCCAAGTCGCGGATACTGAGCTCAATGTGTGGGGAATGCCTTGCTGGAAGTAGCCGATACTTTTTTGGCAGGGACCTGCACGTGTGGGCATGTGCCCTCCAGCGTCCAGATCAGGAGGGACACCCTGTCCTGACGCCAGGCCCCAGCCGGCAAGAACAGCAGGTGCCACCTGGGCCAACGGTCGCTGTTGCCGAAATGTTTCTTTTGCGCCGAATGCCTTGGCCCCGCCAAGACCAAAAGCCCAGGCCGCGCCAAACCCCTTCCGACCTTCCACGTCAACCTTCGAATCCGGTCCGGATCCATTTGGGGCCTTGTCACTTTGTGCCATTCCATCGTCGTCGATTTACAATTTATTCGACGCAATCCTTCATTTCCTTTGACCAGTTTTTGCTCTACGGCGCGCCCTCAGAAAGCCCCAGAGATAAAACGCACGCACCGACAACTCATGCTCTGTCTGGCCCCGCCGTGAGGCTCTCGCAAGAGCTCCAAAGCTCCATCCTGCTCGAATTCCCTTCCCTCCAACCGTTTCACCTAAACCCACCGAATTGGTCTATTCACTTGCAACTCTGTGCCGGTATCGAATATCTAAGCCGACCATGGAGTTGGTCACAGAAGTCGCCGACCTGGGCCTGAAACTTCTACGTATGTTGAACACTGAGAAGCCATGCTACACCCGATGAGAAGTAGGCACGAGACTGACTTGACCAACGCGACAGGACGAGATGACAGCGAGGAAGGTTCGTCGACCCCAAGTTCATGCGATTCTCCTCGAAATGCAATTTCATCTTGCGCTTTCGGACGAAACCTCGTTGCTGACCAACAAACTTCTAGAGGGCGATGGCGCGACCAAGGAACTGTACGCGGCATGGACCATCTTTATTGCCATTTTGCTGCTCATTGCAGCCTTTTTCACGAGTTACATGCTCCAAATAAAGAAAGTGACGGCTATCCACGAAACAGTCATTTCAATCTTTGCGGGTTCGTAATTGCATTCCCCGAAGAGCATTGGTGCGCGACTTGGCGCAATTGTCGTCATTGTCTTGACAGGAATTTGAACTGACTGAGCCGCGCCGCACTCGTAGGAATGACGGTTGGATTGATTCTCATCGTCACCTCGGGCGATTCGATACGGACCATGATAAACTTCAACTATCAAATTTTCTTCAACCTCTTACTACCGCCGATTATTCTCTCTTCTGGATACGAGCTGCATCAAGCCAACTTCTTCCGCAACATCGGCACAATCCTTACATTTGCCTTTGCAGGAACATTTCTGTCTGCCGTCGTCATTGGATTCATTCTTTGGCTATACTCCCTGATCCCCGGAACCCTGAAGATGACATTTGTTGATGCAATTTCTGTTGGTGCCACCTTGTCTGCCACTGATCCAGTCACAATCTTGGCTATTTTCAATACCTACAAGGTTGATCCGAAGCTGTATACCATTATTTTCGGCGAGTCAATTCTTAATGACGCCATTGCCATTGTCATTTTTGAGACAGCCCAGAAATACAACAAGGGCGAAGCATCTAGCTATGGAGTCCTCAGCTTCTTTGAAGGTACCGGCATTTTCTTGCTGGTTTTTTTCAGCAGTTTGCTCATCGGCATCGTTGTCGGCATCGGCACTGCCTTGCTTCTCAAATTTACGTATCTCAGACGATATACAAAGATTGAAAGCTGTCTCGTCTTCTTGATAGCTTATGCCACCTACTTCTTCTCCCAAGGTGTGCATTTGTCTGGTAAGTGCTATTCCGTTCTGCTCATTACATGTCGCCTTCACTTTGCTCATCTCGATTAGGTATCGTGTCCTTGCTCTTCTGTGGTATAACCCTGAAGCATTATGCCTATTTCAACATGTCTCGCCGAACCCAACTCACCACAAAATACATTTTCCAAGTAATATCACAATTGTCCGAAAACTTCATCTTCATTTATCTTGGTCTGGCCCTGTTCACCGACAGTGCGCTGTCATTCCAGCCACCCCTTATTATGATTACCATTCTAGCCGTTTGCGTTGCTCGATGGGTCGCCGTGTTCCCCCTGTCTAAAGCTATCAACTGGTTCATTTCATATCGCGCCAGGCGGCGTGGTGTTGAAGCTGCCGAAGAATTGCCGTACAACTACCAGGCAATGCTCTTTTGGGCGGGCCTTCGTGGCGCCGTCGGCGTGGCTCTCGCCGAACTTCTGACCGGTGATAATGCCCTCGCTCTTCGAGCGACTGTGTTGGTTGTGGTTGTCCTAACCGTCATTATATTTGGTGGCACCACTGCCCGCATGCTCGAGATCCTCGGCATTCGGACCGGAGTCGTGGAGGAGATTGATAGCGACGACGAGTTTGATATTGAAACAGTTGCTACTGGTCTCCATGCCAAACGTTCGGGCGGCGGCATTGGCTACACACCTCGGCGAAATGGCAACATTGTTCTGCACAACCTAGAGGAAGGTCGGTCCGCTAGTTATGTGTCCGGCCACAGGTCACCGCACCTCTCTGGAAGCGGCCAAAGTATCCGAGGAAATAGTCTTAACCGAAAGAATTCCAATCGTAACCAGGATGAGTTCGAGAGGGCAGATTTGCTTGGCCGTAGTGGCGAAGACTCCGACTTTGATACAGACATTGACACGTCTGATCTACCGCCACCAGCTCGTCCTGCCCGCCACACCAGCTCACAGCCCTCTCCTCAAACGGACAGTGCCTTTATGAGCCCGGCTGGTGAGGCATCGCAGCCAACGCCCATGACTGCCACCGGAGCTATTCGACAACTTTGGAGTGCAGAAGATCCAGCGGGTCTATTCAGACAACTAGACGAGGATTTCATCAAGCCGCACCTCTTACTCCAGGGCGATAACAATAAGAGTTAGCCAGCGAGCTAGATAGATAGACATATGGAGGATACTTGAGCATGTAGATACGGACAGGGATGTATGACGAGTTTCATAACCACAGCGCTGGAAAAGCTGATTCGAAATTAATGGGATGAATGAATGGAGGCTTGGACGGTCATGTTTCCTGGTCTGACTTGTCGTCCTTGTACATTGTACGTGGCGCACGTGGCGTTTTTGTATCTATTGATGGTGACCCTACATGTTTGATTCGGACCATCTTATTTATTATTGAACACTTGAAACGTCACCTGCACTGGGAGACGAGCATAATTGTGTGCGTGCCTTCTCTGGGCAACATGAGTTTTTAACGTCGAGAGAGCTTCCACTGCCCCCATTCGACAAAATTAAGGTATATACAACAATTCCCAGCCCGTCAAGACAAGACGAGCAAATTTGCCAACACTGCGCTCGCTATTCCAGCTACTCGCCCCGAGCTCCATGCCCGATGGCCATAATAATTTCTGGCAACCCTGACCATTCTGCAAAACATAAAACGCCCTGTGACCATGACCGTAACCGTGTGTAAATGAGGTAGAAGGAGAGACGGCAGCCAAGACTTCAAGTAGCTTTCCGTCACCAACATGACATCCAAAACTACAGCCAACCGTAGCAGATGACAAAAGCACCACAAAAACTGGCCTAGATACAAAGAGAGCTGGTTTATTGGCCCCCTGAAGGAGTGGCGCTACCACTGGATTGGCGTTGATGGGACTGCCCCGGGCTGGGCGCAGGGACGGGAGTAGGGGATGCTTGGCTCCCTGCGCGCTGCTGAACTTGTTGCTGAGCCTGCTGAGCCTGTTGGGCCTGTTGGGCCTGTTGAGCCTGTTGGGCTTGCTGAGCCTGCTGGGCCTGCTGGGCCTGCTGAGCCTTTGCCTGTTGCTGAGCCTGAAGAGTGGCGGCGGCCTGCTGCTGCTGCCGAAGGAGAGCCGCATACTGGTGAGGACTGGTGGTTGCCGCAATGCTGTTGGCAAGACCGGGCTGTCCGGTTCCCCCCGCAGCAGCATTCATGGCAGACTGGCGCTGTGCCATCATGGTTCTCGTGAGATGTTCTGTTGCGACCTGGCGTGCTTGTTCGGGCGTCAGATTCGGGTTCTTCGCCCTCAACTGGGCTTCTAGTTGAGCAAGCTGTGCGGCGATGCCGGCGGGAAGCTGAGGATGAACTCTTTGGCCTGGGGAACTACCGTTAACGGCGACGGGCATGTGTAGACCATTAGTTGGCGGTGATGTATGCCCATTGGCATTGGCAACCGCACTGTACTGAGCCATCATGGCCTGTGCGGTGGTCATGTAGTTTTGTTGATTGATTCCGTTGATGCCATTGCGCAGGGGAGGCGAGCTGTGCGGTCCAGGAGTACCAACTGCTGCGCCATTGGTCTGTTGCTGCGGTGGTTGCTGCTGCTGTTGCGGCGGCTGCTGCTGATGCTGCTGATGTGGCTGGACTTGCTGCGGTTGCTGGTGTTGCTGGTGCTGAGCCTGCTGGATCTGAACTCTCTGCTGTTCAGAGATGCGTTGGGCACGAAGCATCAAGTTGGCATCCGGCTGCTGGTTCGGCATTGGCATTCTCTGCTGGCCTTGCATCGCAGCTTGCAGCTGGGCCTGCGGGACAGCGGCCATCTGGTTGGCAACCGAAAGCCCGCCATTCATCTGAGCTTGGACACCAGCAACTCCCATCCCATTGACCGGAGCTTGCATGGGCATCCGGGGCCGCTGAGTGGCGGCGGCAACGGCAGCAGCGGCTGCGAGTTGGCTTGGGATACCTGGGCGAGCAGCACCACCTGCTGGGACGCTGCCGTTTGGAAGATGATTTCCGTTTTGCTGTGCTTGTCCTCCAGCCCCCGCTGCCTGGGCTGCCTGGGCTGCCTGGCCTTGAGTCCTGGCTTGTAGAGCAGCTCGTCGCTGGGCTTCCTGCCGCTGCGCGTACTGTGCCATCTTCTCTGCTAGAGCCTGATCGCGTTCGAAACGGAGGAGACTGTAATCTCTTGGTGTCTTTTTCTGCCGTTGCGAAATAGTATCGTTGGGCTTCTTGTTAGCTGAATTTTGTGACGCTGAGTGTTGTTGCTTTTGGATAGTGGTCTCTCTCTTCTTGGCGAGCTTTCTCATTGCATCAAGTAGACTCAAGTGCTTTTGATTACGCCGCCTCTCGACTCGCACTGGCACCGACGGTCTCCTGCGAACGGGCGTCATGGCACCACCAGCGGCACTGGCTTGTTGTGCAGCCATTTGGTTCTGCTGAGCAATGACTCGCTGTGCTGACTCGATTCTGCTGTTGTATGCCTTGAAGTACTGCGTCTTTTGCATGTCTGCTGGAAGGCCTTCGAGATTGATCCATCGCTCAAAGCATTCCCAAGGCGTGCGTCTCTCAGCGCCCGACTGAAACTTGGATTTGGTCGACAACATGTGAGCAATCAATGACCAATTATAAGAATACTCCCGAACAAGTCCCCGCAATTCATCATCCTCTACCAGCGTCCATTGCGATGGCCCGCGAGACTCATAGAAGCTCTGCACAGGCATTGCGTGTTCCGAAGGTGGCCTGAATTGGTGACCTGCATGTAGCCTGTCTCTGATGTGTTTTGAGTCAGGCCGGAAGAGGGCAACTTCGTCAGTCGTTGCGGGAAGTTCAACGTTGTGGACGGCTTGGTCGGCCACGAAGGCGCCCTCGAACTCATCATCTGACTCCTCATTCTCGTAGCTGAATCTGCTGCGTTTGCGCGGAGGGGTGGACGTTACAAGCTTCATTTCACCTTCAACGTACTTGCTCAGGGGCAAAGCAGGACGGCGCCAATGGGCGTCTGGGTCATACTCGGGGTTTGTGATATCTCCACTCAGGACCTTCAGAGGTGAGCCATACATTGGAAGCTCATCAAGTAGGGCATCCGAAGCCGTTGTTCGCCGCAACCCGAACACAACATCGTCTTCCTGTAGAGTGAAGATGGCAGACGGGGGAACGGTTTCCACGAAGTCATCGGCAAGTTCGTCCACTGGTTGCGGCGAGTCTACATCGCCAGATGATATCAGGTCGGGAGTTGGCTGATTGTCCGCCCCGTCTCCATCAACATCCGTCATGGGCACATCGGCTTCTACCGTTTCAGCCTTTGGAGGGATAGCAGCACGAACTTGCATCTGTTTTCGCTCATTGGAGGATGCTTCGTACCATTCTGCGCAGGCATAGGCCAGGTTTCGGGCAACTGCCATTTTCCATTTGCGCTCCTCACGAAAGTCTGTCCGCATCCATTTCATCTCTTTTAGTAGCGTGTCCCACTGTGTCGGAGGTCTTGTCGGCTCAGGGCAGCGCTTGAGTTGACGTAACGACCACTTGTCATGTTGTTGCAAGTGGTATACACGCCTTAGGACCTTGCAAGCCTGGTGGTCTTGGATGGCAATGTCAGCATCCGGAGTGGCGATGGTCTTATTTGCTTGAAACAAGATTCGTTCAAGCGGTTGCATCCACTTGGAAGCGCCGGTAAAGTTTTGCACGAAGAGTGAAGTGTAATAGTCATCCGTTGGCTGCAAAATTTCTTTGTGGCCCGATACAATGGATTTCTCATCAACTCGCTTTGGTTGTTTCCCAAAAAGGACCGTTGACACCTGGCCCTTCGATCGATCTCGTTTATGCCCATTTCTTACTCTGGATGCCGGAGACTGAGGAGTTGAAGTGACAGGTGTGAGCTGATCGTGTGATCCTTTTGTCGCATCTCGGTCTGCGATGGACGGGCGGGATATCGCGCCACCTCCCACGATTTCGGTCACAGATTTCAACCGCATAGCCCCGGAGGATACTCGGGTGACAGCTCTCTCCGGAGCTGGTAGTTGCACAGTCTGTTCCTTTTTAACGGCTGTAGTGGGAGTCTGAACCGTGCTTTGAGACGGCGGTTTTGAATCGCTAGGAGTCACGGGTTTCTGGGTTTGGGCTTGCGTTCGTAGCTCGGTGGCGTCGACTTGCATCTGATCGGGCGAACTGTCCTGACTATCGGGAACCTCAGCTTTACCGAGTTTCTTTGGCTCAATTGCTGGGGGTTCATGTTCTGAAACTTCGTCAATCATCGAAACTTTCGCGGCTTCTTCGGGCGCTTGTGGTGTCGCAGATGTCGTGCTGGATCTGATTGATTCTTGAAGAAGCTGGTCCTCTGCGCCTGGGCTGTGCTCCTGACCTTCTGCTACCTTCTCCTGCTGGTGTTGGATAACCTCACTAGCGTCTGGCTCGTCCGGATGTTGTGTCGGATCGACGAATCGGGTACTATCATTGTCGGGGCTGGTGTCCGTAGACACGTCGTGTATGGCCGGCGTGGTCGCGGTATGAGTAGTCGATGCTGGCGATGACATAGCCTCGGTTGCTTTAACAGCCTCGGGCGGAAGTTTAATGCTGAGAGGCGCATTGGTTGTGTTATTGTTAAGCGAGGCAGTGGCGGTCGGCTTAATCGGAAGGGGTGTTGGAGTGACCGACGCTGGAATTGCATCATGGTGTTTAGTTGCACTGCTGGCGGGCTTCTTCGTCCCGGGAGGAAATTTAACAGGAGGTTGTTGTGGTTGTTGTTGAGTTGCATTGTTGGTCGCCGACGCGCTATTCGTTTTGGTCTTGATATTCGTAGTCGGCTCAACAGTTAATGGTGGTTTTGGTCCCGGCGCAACCGGTTTCGCGGGAGATGTCGGGCTTTGCGATGGTTTCTGTGCAGGCAGACCTGGTGTTGATTGTGCCAAACTGCCTGATGCTGAGCCCGGTCGGCCATTGACAACAGAAGTAACCGCCTTGGACTGGGTTACATCAGATGATTTTTGTACAGGCGCCGTCGAAAATTCCTTTTTGATGCTATCGAGTGGTATTGGAATGGGAACTGGCGTCGGCTTCGAAGATGGCTGAGTTGTCGCAGCACTTATTTGCAGCGCGAGTGATCTTTTCAACTTGTCGATCGATTGCTTCTGCCTCGCCGGAATATGAAGCTCATTCAGCGGCTTTCCTCTGCAGATGGAAGATTAGT